TGGGGGGTGTCCAGGGTAGTGTTCTACAAGACACAGCTGGGATACTTCTGGAATCATTCATTCTTCAATAAAAGCTATATATGAGGAGGTCCTCATCCAAAGTCCCGACATGAAATCTACAGTCAGTAACAGAGAACAAAGATGACTAATATGCTTATAGTATTTCAGAGTTCAAGAAGTGTGACCGTGGTTTGTATGATGCAAACTTCCCAACAACCCTGTAAGACAAGTGTTACTGTCACACATGTGGAAAGAAACACACTTGAGAAATGACTAGAGTAACAGGTGAAACTAGATGCCTAACTTGTCTCCTATGACAAGGAATTCCAAGTCTGGGTCATGACCAAATCTTAGGAACCCTCCTTCTAAATGTTACTAATAGCAAATGCAAAATGAAAACTGCCCTAAATTAAGCATTGATTGGTAGAGAAATATGGCATTTTAGCTACATCTGTACTAAGTAGCATAAACACTGAAATTATACTCACCATGGTGACTACCTACTGAATTCAAAGAAAAAAAAAAAGCACAATTGGAGCACCTCAATAGTTAAAGATGAAGAGACTGGGACGTCATCACAAGGAAGAAACCCGTGTGTTTTTGTAGGTTTTTATGACTAACCCAGTCTTTGTAAATAATTAACCTACCTAATCTTTGGCCTGGCAATTTTGCAATAGCTTGAGGTACTCTGATGTCCATACAACATGCCTAAATATCCAAAGGGCAAACAGAAAAAGTCTAGAAAGTTTTGTGTTTTGCTGGGGTTACGGGAAAGCGGGTGGTGTTTTTTGTTGCGTATCCATGGGCAAATAGGTCAGTGTGTTCCATTTAGGCAACCCTTCCTTTGTGACACACAAGCCCAAGAGCCTACAGACCTGCCTGCACTGCTCAGAGGCCCGGGGTAAAACATTCTAGTCCTGAAACTGCTGGGGGCTCATTACATGGTGGACACTGCCAGGTAGCATCCTTGGATGGAGATTCCCGTGGCAGGGGCAAATATCACATTTAATAACATTTGACGAAACACCAGAGCCAAGGGAAAGCCAGGCCTACCCAGATGAGAGAAAATGATGCTCCCAAGGAGTGTCCGTCACCTAGAAGAGTCACAGCCAAGGCCCAACAATGCTCTCTGAGAGCGAAGAGCCAATTAGGTACCTTAGTAAATAACCTAGAAACCCTGATCTTGTCAGCCCAGGCTGTTCTAGTCTTCCTGGCTCTTCCTAAGGCCATTCACCTCAATTCTGAGTAGGTAGTAACAACTAAAAGATCTTATTAACCCAGAGGGGCCAGCTGATGGCTGGGTCAACAGATCTCCCCAGACCAGTCAGCTGGATCACCCTGGACAGGCAGCTGGAGCCAGGCAAAGACCAAGTTGGGTGGCACAGCCCGTCATGAAGAGGCTTTTCTCCCGTTACCTGGCATGGCTCTGGCAAACTGCAGCTGGCCAGATCTCCCCTCTAGGAACAGGTGTGTGCTGCATCCATGGCCCATTCCCCACCCGCTCTGTCTCAGGGAGGCCAATCCAAGGACTCCACCAACAGACTCTCTGGTATCCTGCTTCTGGCCTAGTTTGGCCAATGGGGGGCACCAGCAGGGGCCAGGAGTGAGGGAGCATACACAGTCCCTCACGGCATTGTCGCTGTGGGCTGGCTGCCTCCCTTGGCTGAAAGCTTCGAATTCTGTGGGGTGGCCCTCCCTGATCCCTGGAACCAGAGTCCCGTCTCACTGTGGTTGCCCTGGGTTCCACCCTAGCACAGAGCTGCCCTGGACCCACTCCCATCTGGCAAGTAGTCCAAGCATCATTAAGGGCTCTTGGCCTCACCCGCATGGAGTGTGCACTCCACTCTCAGCCCAGACTGAATGATACACACACGATGTCCCCTGGGAAATCCACCACTGCCCCCTTGCTTTATAGCCAACTATGGCGGGACCCTACAGGACCACTTTCCAGATACTCTGTTGGTGGCCCCATAACCACACAAGATGTCCTCCCTACAGAGCTCCCCCGGCACCTTCAGCTCCTTTCACACTTGACTGTGAGGGTGCTTTCAGAGACAGTGATCAGGTCCTGTCACCCTGGCTTTGGGGCCCCACTGCCCACAGGGGAGGGAGCCTAGAAGGGGCACCAGCCCCTGCAGTTGGGCTCTGATCCCTGGTAGCATGGAGTTTGCTGAAGGCTCCCTCTTTCTGCCACGTTCCTGTCTCTTTTCCCCTCAACCCCACCCCTCATCCTTCCATCCATCCTTCCTACAAGGCCCAGGAACACAGTGGCTTTTCCCTGGTGTGCTTGACTTTGCTTCTCAAAACCCGTGGCCACAGTCAGACTTTCTCATGTGACGCTTCACGTCCCTGCTGCAGCACACATCCCTCTAGGGGGATAAGTTAGATTCAGGTGTATTTCCCTCAAACATGCCCCTACCAGAGGCTCCTCCATGTCTGCAGTAGAAACCCAGGGCCTGCTCTTTCTAGGCAGCCCTGCAGCCTATCAGTTCACCACGCAGTGTCGCTGCCCCAGGAGGATTGGCGAAGGGGCTTGGGATCTCAGTGATCCCTGCCCACCCTGGAACAGAAATCCAGGTGTGGAATTAAGACAACTCTGGATCGCGTGTCTCTTGGGAATGAGGAGATCTCCCCAACTTGCAAGGTTAACTCCAGGCTCTGGCTAGCAGGTCAGAGTGACTTCTGCCCAGAATAGGCACTCACTTAATGTACAGATTGAAGAATAAACCAAATGGGAAAATCCACAGAGACAGAAAGTAGATTGACAGTTGCCTACGGAAGGGGCATTAGGGAGAGATGGGGAGTGTTAGCTAATGGGGACAGGTTTCTTGGGGAGGAGATAAAAATGTTCTAAAATTGATTACAGTGACAGAACTCTGAATATACTGAAAATCATTGAATTGTGCACTGAATAAACTGTGTTATGTGAAGCATATCTCAATAAAGATGTTATAGATAAAAGAATAACCACCTAGCATTTATGAGCATATGTATATACATATATACATAGTATGCGTGTATGTATGTGTATATATATGTATGAATATGAATATGCTCTTTCTTTTGTTTAACCAAATCAACAAATAATTCTCTATCATCTTAAATATGCAGCCTGCCCTGTTGTGCTGCCATAAACCTACTTGGTTGTTTTGGTTTTTTCCAGATTAATAAAACTAAAGGAAACAGCTGTTTTCAATTTTTTCATTTGAGTGATAATCTGCCTCCAAATGCTTCTCACACCTGCCCTTCACCCCTCCCTGTCTCTCCTTCCCGGAAAGAGCTCCCCGCAAAAGTGGCTCTCCCTGAAGCAGACTCAGGGGCCATCAGGGGTGGCAGGCTGGGAGATGAAGGGCTACTCATCTCACCAAGCCCCTACTGTACACAAGGTCTGTGGCCAAGCACATCAGAAAGATAATTTCAATTATTTCTGGCGCATGCTTGCATTAGGGTTCTCACCTCCATTTTACTGCTGGAGCAGAAGGAGTTTGTTCTGTCACTGGATAAAGTCACACAAACTCTACACTGAGCTGCTGAAATTTGGGACAAGACCTACCTGATGCAAGGCCAACCCTGGTCACCACTGCTACTGCTGACCAGGGTCTAGGTTACTTGACCACATGGCCTGCTGTCCATTCGACCTCAGGAACAAGGATGACAAATCAATAGGCTCCCCAACTCCAGCAGGCATGATGGCGCCTGGGCCTGCCTCCCTCAAATAGTTCTGGCTGCCGCTTCCTCCCAGCCACCCCCTGGGCCATGCCTGCCTGATGTCTGGGCCCCATGCTTCCTTCCTGGATGCAGAGTCGAGGCTCTGGGGTGAGAATGCTCCTGCCTGGCCTCAGACAGTGCTCTCTCCAGGTGTTCAAAGTCCACCAGGGGTCACGCAGATGGCAGCTGAATCCCAGCTCAGCTGTTTTCTGGCTGCGCAACCGTGGCATGGCACTTTTGCAGCCTCTGTTTCCTCGTCTGTAATTCCACTTCCTGGGCAGTGCTGCTGTGAGGACTGAATAAGATTAAATAGCTCCAACAACAAAGAGCTCTTCTTAGTGTGTCAAAATAATAAGACTACCTAAAGCTAATATTCATCAGTCTCCATTGCTTGTTCTCAGGTGAGAAAACCTAAGTGGAGCAATTTTCCCAAGCTGAAACAATCCGCAAATTCTTGTACATGAGTTTTGAACCTGCATAGCCTGGTCCCAAATGATGGACTGCCACAGCTCACAGAGGCCTGGGGAGCACAGAGCAGAGGAATGAGGAGAGAAGGGGGGCACATACAGACACACTCACACCAGCACCCACGTGCTGTCTTGCCCCCCACTGCGGGGTGGATACAGGTAAGTTCCTGCCATCTCTGCATCTGGCTCCACAGCAAGGGCTCAGGGTACATATCTGACAGTCGTCGCCTGACTCACTCCCACCTACCCCAACTTGATACCCACATGGTCAGGGGCTGGGGTCAGTTCACATGCCCTCTACACCTTGGAGTCTCCCAAAGAGGGGTGCTCATGCTTCTTGCATCAAAATTTCCCAGGGTACCGAAATATAGATTCCTGGCCCTCACCTGCAGACCTGCTAAATCTGGAGTGGGTGGTGTGAGTTTTGGTTTTTTCGTGTGTTTCCCAATGACTCTGATGAGACCTGCTGCCACTCTCCAGGCTACAGAGGCCAAGCCCCTCTGTACCCTCAACTGTACACACTGCTTGGAGACAGGGAACTCGCTGCTTCACAAAACAATCACTCTCTGACCCCATCAGACAGGCTCCTACCGTATGCACACGACAACCTTCCCTGCTATCTTTCACATGGACGCTGCTTCCACTCCTTGCAACCCCAGCATAAGTCTCCTCCACCCCTGGAAGGCATTCAGCCCTTGCACACAGCTGAGCAGGGGCCTCCAAAGGCCACATGGCCAGGGGGTGTCTCAGCCAGCAGCCATCACCAGACACTTGCTGAAGGCTCTGTTCAGCCCCACCCCAGAAAGCAGAAAGAGCTCATCTTGCCTGCGCAGCCCAGAGGTAGTCCAGCCGCAGCCTGATGTCCACCTGCCTGGCGTGCAGGGCCAGCGCACAGGAGAATAACAGGATGGCCACGATCGGCTCATAGCTGCGCCCAGAGACAGCGCCGCTCCTGGGGGAAGAGGAGGAGGAAAACCGAAGTCAGTCCCAAACTTCCAAGGCAAGACCCTATCGTCAAACCTGAGAACCATTCAGAGTGTCCCTCAGGGAGTGACACCCACAGACAGCTTGCTGGAATGGACCCGAGCCAAGAGCCACCTCTCGCTGGGAAATCTGAGGCCTGAGAATTTGGGTTGAAGAGAAGAAATGGAGAAGCCACTGCACTACCATTTTGTATACAATTGGTTACTGGTTTTCTAACCAGCAGACTAATACATAGCTGTACACCCAGAATTTAGCAACACCTCCACTTGGGTCTTTTTCCTCGAGGGATCCACACACTTACCCAGCTCTGGTGTATCCGCTGAGCTCAAGAACGAGGATGTAGGACGTGGTGAGCCCAGACAGCAGGATCATTTTTGGCAAGGAGGACACCCGCAGGAATATGGCTAGCGGGAGGGTGCCCACCAGGCAGCAGATCAGGGCATGGTGTACAGACTCGCAGGGCAGTGCAGGCAGGGCTGTGCGCTGACCCCTGGACGAGAGGATCACCAGGGAACTATTGGGCTTGGAGGTCCAGGCCCAGGGCAGGCAGCCCACCTGGGAAGTGAGGAAGACACAGGCGCTTAGGGAAGGCGAGATAGAAACCTATAGCCCCTCGGGATGCCCAGGGGCTCCTCCTCAAAAGTGTCCCTTATCCTGGCCTCCTGTTCTCAGCCCTTCAGTGCCTTCATGCCAGGCCTCAAGGCTCCTGGCCACTCCTGGCCCTCCAAGGCTCCTCGGCTGCCAGATCAGGAGAGGGACCTGGGGAGAAGCAGGTGGCACCAGTCCTGCCTGTCTCCAGCCCAGCAGCTCCATCCCGTTATTTCCACCACTACTCTCTCCTGTTACTCCGGCCTGACTCCATCCTGTTTCTCCTATCCCAGATCCAACCTGTTTCTACTGCCTGACTCCATCCTGTTACTCAAACTCACCACTCTATCCTGTTACCTATGCCTGACTCCACCCTGTTCCTCCTGTCTCAGCTCCAACTTGTTACTGCTGCCTGAATCCACCCTATTACTTCTGCCCCATATCCATCCTGTTACTCCTACCTGACTCCATCTTGTTACTCCCACTCACAACTCTATCCTGTTCCTCCTGCCTAAATCCATCCTGTTACTCTTGCCCCAGCTCCATCCTAGCCCTCCTGCCTGACGGCATCCTGTTACTCCTGCCTAATACCATCCTGTTACACCTGGCTGACTCTACCCTGCTACTCCTCCCTAGCCCCATCCTGTTACTCCTGCCTGACTGCACCCTTTTACTCCTGCCTGACTCCATCCTGTTACTCCTGCCTGGCTCCATCCTATTACTTCTGCTGACTGCATCCTGCTACTCCTGCCTGACACCATCCTGTTACCCTGCCTAACTGCATCCTTTTACTTCTGCCTGACACCATCCTGTTACTCCTGCCTGACTCTACCCTGTTACTCCTGCCTAACCCCATCCTGTTACTCCTGTCTGACTCTATCTTGTTACTTCTGCCTGACTCCATCCTGTTACTCCTGCCTGACTCCATCCTGTTACTCCTGCCTGACTCCATCTTGTTACTCCCACTCACAACTCTATCCTGTTCCTCCTGCCTATATGCATCTTGTTACTCTTGCCCCAGCTCCAACCTAGCCCTCCTGCCTGACTGCATCCCGCTACTTCTACCTGACACCATCCTGTTACTGCTGCCTGACTGCATCCTGTTACTCCTGCCTAACACCATCCTGTTACTCCTGCCTGACTCTATCTTGTTACTCCTGACTGACTCTATCTTGTTACTCCTGCCGGACTATACCCTGTTACTCCTGCCTGACACCATCCTGCTACTCCTGCCTGACTGCTCCTGTTACTCTCTACCTGACTGCGTCCTGCTACTCCTGCCTGACACTATCCTTTTACTCCTACCTGACTCCATCCTGTTACTCCTGCCTGACTGCATCCTGTTATTCCTGCCTGACTCCTTCTTGTTACTCCTATCTGAATCCATCCTGATACTCTTGCTCCAGATCCATCCTATCACTCCTGCCTGACTCCATCCTGTTACTCCTGACTGACTGCTCCTGTTACTCCTACCTGACTCCATTCCATTACTCCTGCCTGACTGCACCCTGTTACTCCTGCCTGACTCCATCCTGTTACTCCTGCCCGACACCATCCTGTTACTCCTACCTGACTCCATCCTGTTACTCCTGCCTGACTCCATCCTGTTACTCCTACCTGACTCCATCCTGTTACTCCTGCCTGACTCCATCTTGTTCCTCCTGCCACAGCTGCGTCCTACTACTGCTACTGAATCCAACCTGCTACTCCTGCCTGACTCCTTCTTGTTACTCCTATCTGAATCCATCCTGATACTCTTGCTCCAGATCCATCCTATCACTCCTGCCTGTTTTGATCCTGTTACTCCTGTCTGACTGCATCCTTCTACTCCTGCCTGACTGCATCCTGTTACTCCTACCTAACTCCATCCTGTTACTCCTGCCTGACTCCATCCTGTTACTCCTGCCTGACTCCATCTTGTTCCTCCTGCCACAGCTGCGTCCTACTACTGCTACTGAATCCAACCTGCTACTCCTGCCTGACTCCTTCTTGTTACTCCTATCTGAATCCATCCTGATACTCTTGCTCCAGATCCATCCTATCACTCCTGCCCGTCTTGATCCTGCTACTCCTACCTGGCTGCATCCTGTTACTACTGCCTGATTTCATCTTGTTACTCCTGCCTGACTCCATCCTGTTACTCCTCCCTGACTCTAATCTGTTCATCTTGCCCCAACTCCATTCTGTCACGACTTTCCCAGCTGTATCTGGTTACTCCTGCCTGACTCCATCCTGTTCCTCCTGCCTGACTCCATCCTGTTCCTCCTGTCTGACTCCATCCTATTATTCCTGCCTGGCTCCATCCTTTCCTTCTGCCTCTGATTCCTGCCTGACTCCATCCTGTTCCTCCTGCCTGACTCCATCCTGTTACTCCTGCCTGACTCCATCCTGTTACTCCTGCCTGACTCCATCTTGCTCCTCCTGCCACAGCTGCGTCCTACTACTGCTACTGAATCCAACCTGCTACTCCTGCCTGACTCCTTCTTGTTACTCCTATCTGAATCCATCCTGATACTCTTGCTCCAGATCCATCCTATCACTCCTGCCCGTCTTGATCCTGCTACTCCTACCTGGCTGCATCCTGTTACTACTGCCTGATTTCATCTTGTTACTCCTGCCTGACTCCATCCTGTTACTCCTCCCTGACTCTAATCTGTTCATCTTGCCCCAACTCCATTCTGTCACGACTTTCCCAGCTGTATCTGGTTACTCCTGCCTGACTCCATCCTGTTACTCCTCCCTGTCTCCACCCTGTTCCTCCTGTCTGACTCCATCCTATTATCCTCCCTGTCTCCATCCTTTCCTTCTGCCTCTGATTCCTGCCTGACTCCATCCTTTCCTTCCATCCTGTTACTCCACCTTGACACCATCCTGTGACTCCTGTCTGACTCTATTCTGTTACTTCTGCCGGACTGCATCCTGTCACCCCTGCCCCAGCTCTGTCTGGTCACTCTGCCTGACTCCATCCTGTTACTCCTGCCTGAATCCAATCTGAGGTTACTCCTGCCTGACTCCAGCCTGTTACTCCTGCCTGACTCCCTCCTGTCGCTCATGATCCAGCTCCAACCTGTTATTCTGCCCTTGCTTCTATCCTCTGCTTACTCTAAAGAAGCAGGGTTTCCCTCTACCAGGAAAACTCTGCCCCGTCCTCTGCTAGGTGACCCTTTTGTTCACTTGCTTCTCTGGCACTCCTGGCCTGTTCCTGACATCTCTGCTGACACCCTCTTGTCTCCGCAGTTCTGGGCCCTGATCTCCCAGGTAGCCCTCCATGGCATGCCCTCCCCTACCCCTAGTGCACTTCATGAGGTAGAGATGCTCACCACACATCCTTGGGCCACTGAATAGATTAAGACCACTATGAAAATACACAAGACAGTGCGAATCTGAATCGTCAGGCACCCTGGAAAACACTGAACAGGAAATATCAACGTAAAAGAAAAGCCTGGGATTACAACACTGATTCACATGCACAGTAAATAATTCACACAATGGAACACGAAGAGCAATGTGCATGCTGCTAGATCCACACCCATTATTCATCCTCCACACACATTTCTTGGCTGTTTTCATATATGTATTCTCCTAGGTGAAAAACTTGCTAAAGTTTTACAAAGCAACCAGAGGTCTTTAGATTAAAAAGAACACCTCTCCTCCATTGACCCTGCATTGTGACTTTGACCGGCACTACAGTTAATGGAACAGATCAACTCGACATTCTCATTGTATTACATTCTTCCATCTCAGAAAGGATGCACATTTCTATTCATGTGTGTCTTCTTTTATATGCTTTAAATAAGTTTTTATATGCTTTAAATAAGTTAAGCTTTAAATAAGTTTTATTATTTTATTTACACAGGTTTTTACATAATCCTTAAATCGTTAGAAATTTTATCTAAATCTATTTAATATAAATATATTTTAAAATAGCCAATAAACAATTTCATGGATGAAAGCAAAAAGTCCTTTCACACTCATACTCCTAAAAATATAAACATAAACTAAAATAAACACCCACAAGGACCTTGCAGAAAGTAGCAACTAACCCCGATATAGCCAAGTCTAGCAGAGTGCTCTTGTCAGTCTGCATGGGTTATTCCTTTAGCAGCCTCTCCCTCCCCGCATGAAGTCAGATCATGACTGTCCCCACTCTACAGTTGAGAAAAAGGTGGTACAAAAACCACCCAGCCCAGTATAACTTATTCATGGACAAGGACAGAACAGTGTGTCCCAGCTCACAC